TTACACACAGGAGGCCAATGCAAAGATCTGAGAACTGGAGTGATTCACTCTCCTGGTCTTAGTGAGGACTCTAACAGAGGCGTCCTGAATCAGCTTCAGCTATCCGATCAACTTTTTACTTTTAAACTTAACTATTAGCTAGCATTAGTTAGATGACAAAAATGACCAACTTACCGAACAAAATGTATAAAAAGAGCCCATTGTATCTGTTAGACCAGTTGACTGCAACATAAGGTCAGTGATACAGATATTTTGGCTTTTGGAGAGCTGTCATTTCGGCCACAAATACTGTAGACTCTTTATTTTTACAAGGTGAACCATAATGATCCATGCATTTTCCCACCCTAAAGAAATGTATAAACAGCCTCTGTCTCTGAGTGTGTCTATATGTGGAAAGAGTATTATCTGCCCATTTCCAGAGTTTAAGTTAACTTTCTACTATTTCTATTTAGAAAAACCTTGTTTGCAAAAAACTACATTTCTATGGTGTTATTGAATAAAAACCCATGACAAGCCAACTTGTCTTTTTAGAATGGGGTTGGTTTCACAGGGGCAACTTGCCCCATAAAGAATGCAGCTCTAATCAGGCTGAGCAGCATGTTTTCTTTAGCTAACACATGGCTTGACCTAGCAAAGTACAAATAAGCTCTTCAAATAACCCTGTTCAAAAATGATCAAATAAAATAGTAACATTCTCCAAACATAGTTTTTGCTTTTTAATACTTTTTAGTTTAAATGCATTATAACTTATGAGAGACATAAAATGACTTTACCTTAAGGTTTCATGTCTGCAATAAATTACCCATGTGGGGCAGGAACATGTACATGTGTACTCTCCTAATAAAGAGACACAAAAATATCCTGAGAGTACCTATAAATTAAGGATTCAATCAATTTCCACATGCCACTTCCGTCCACTTAAATTTTCTTCTCTAGACAAGTATGTTTAAGAAATGGATGTTGTGTTACTGAGATCTGTTACACTTTAGTGCATCAAATTAGTACTGAAAGAGGCTGTTGGATCACACACACACCAACACCTCCACACACAGATGTCACACAGTTACTGTCCATTATTCTTAAGTGCGCTGACAGGCATGCCTGTCAGTTAGATCACTTCAGTAACTGAATGAAGGGAGGATGTCATTATTAACTTTTAAAGCAGGTTTTTTTAAGTACATCTTTGTGTGTGTGTGTGCGCGCGCGTGCCTACACTGCCCTTGCACCGATAACAAAGCCACACAAATAGGTGTAATATTGCAATTACAGCAACTATTCTTCTACAGCAAAATGTCTCTCAGCAGCTTGAATATTAAATACAGAAACAGAGCACAGACTGAAGCAGAGAGACGTTGAGAGGAGGAGAGAGGTTTTATTTTAATGCCATTGATCCAACAGCCAACCAGGGTGAGGTATATGGGACAAAACTGCCTGTCATCAAGGCGTTTATGATCTGGTCTCTTGTGATCATTATGCTGTGGGAGCCTGATGATCGGGTTTACAATAAACACCACTGTCGGCTGCGTGCATATCTTTTACAAGTCACAGATATTATTTTTGAGTGTTTTGAAGAAGGGCTTAATACATTACAGGAGGGAGAAGAGTTGGATAGAGGCTATATTGATTATCACTTACTTGAATGTCACATAGTCGTACACCCAAAGACAGACGCATAAAAGCAGGTATAAACGAGCATATGAGTGTGCCTTCTGAGCGAGTGAATGAATCATGTGCTGTTTCTAAATCTATCTAAACGCAAGGATGACGCAAAAGGGAAAGCAGGGTGGAGTCCAGTAAATGTCCCGCGCAGGCAGACAGCCAGTCAGTCTGAAGTGAAACATAGGATGAGGATCATTTAACGCTGCGGCTGCGTCTCTCATTCAAAGCCACTCTGAAGAGGATCTCTGACCTTGATGGAAAGCAGCACATCACAGCACACCGGGCGGCCACGCCCACATCGGTGCTCACTGGCATTGTGGCATGTGGCTCAGAAAATGGTACAAAGGCGTAAACAACACGCATCAGTCTGTGGCATCAAAGAGGAAAGCGAATGTAAACACAGTGAGGTGGAAGGGAGGGAGGAAAGGAGTGACGCAAGTTAGGAAAAGAGGGGGGGGATTCACGGATGACAGTGTAGAGAGCAATATATTTTCTCTGCATTTATATCCTTCGGTGATAATTAACTCTGTACACAAAAATAATGTAATGTGTGCAATACAGAAGCTGTCTGTCCTCTGAGATTGGAAAACATCAACATAAAATGTAGCTCTGAATTGGAGTTGAATACTAATAAGAGCCACAACTTTCATATTTGCAACTGTGAAATGAGAAAACAACTCCAGATGTCGAGGGAGTAGGCATGTTTGAGCACTATGGGCAGGATACGACAAGTAGTAATATCCAAACTGTTCTCACTTTAGTCGACAATATAGCTAATGTGTACTGTATTTGAGTCAGAAGTGACTTACTGAGTTGTCGCACAGCAGTGGGCTTCTTGTTGGCCTCTACAGACATGGAAGAGATGTGTGTGTTTGTATGTTTGTGTGTGTGTAGGAGATGGGGGAGGAGAGAAAGATGGCCATAGATGAAATGAGAAACGAGAGATGGAACGACAGACAAGCAACAGTCATGTCCCCTAGGGTCAATGGGTGTGGGATCCATCTGTTCCTGAAGATCTCACACACAGACACACACACACACACGTACGCACACCAGTGTGTCGTAGCACACAGACTTTTTCAAAGGAGTATTTTCGAGGCCCGAATGTCACAAATCTGTGTGCTAAAATTAGAAGGTTCATCCTAAGCATATGAAACATTTATTTGAGACAGCGGCGTCAGACGGCCCAGGAAACAGCCTGACAAAAGCATGAGGAAGGAATTACACAGGCTGCTGAACTTCCTTAGACACAACAATTACGTGATGTTCCCTCCAAGGAGCTATCTCGCAAGCCAGTTGAAATCATTTGCAGCTTCTTATGCTGCAGCAATCAGTACCAGTCAACCCATAACATCTTTTTGGCTCTGTCACAGAGGTGGGCAAGTTAATGCCAACTATTTCTGCTTAGCCTTAACCAATCACTTTACTCTGCTTTCTTCATGCGGCCATTACCTCTCCAATCAATGCACATGTCTCCTCTCTAACCCCCAACTCATTTATCCTATTAGTGCAATTCTCTTTTTCTTTATAGTTGTTCCCAAACCAATTGTAACCTCTGTGTCAAATACACAGTATATACTAGTGTACACCCTATATACTGTATGATCAGTATAGTTTGTAGAGTAGTTGGTCTCTTCTTGTTGCACAACTAATAGTCCTGCCACAGGTAATACATATTGCCTGTATGTGTGAATGGTATGTGTGCTTACAGCATGTAAGAAGGAAAAAAAAGGCAAGCATTAAGCAACAGGGCAAGCAGGCATATGTGTTCCACTACTCATATCTGCTGGCAACTCTGGGCTCCTGGCCCTGTCAGTTATCTTCAATATAGAATAAAGAGTCAGACAGGATGGAAGGGTTTAAGTTCCTTGTTTTTAGTGTTTTTCCTTCGTATTAAGTGTTCCTAATTTGTGATTTGACCTGGTAGCTTGAAAGAAAGGAAAGTGTTTTCCCTCGTGGAATGCAGCAACAGTTATATATACACTGAAACGCCTTTGGAGACGGCTTATGGTAGAGAAATGAACATTCACGGACAACAGCTCTGGTTGACATTCCTGCAGTCAGCATGCCAATTGCACGCTCCCTCAAAACTTGCGACATCTGTGGCATTGTGCTGTGTGATGGAACTGCACATTTTCGAGTGGCCTTTCATTGAGGCCAGCCTAAAGCACACCTGTGCAATACCCATGCTGTCTGATCATCATCTTGATATGCCACACCTGTGAGGTGGATGGATTATCTCGGCAAAGGAGAAGTGCTCACTAACACAGATTTTGGCAGATTTGAGAACAATATTTGAGAGAAATAGGCCTTTTGTGTACATAGAGAAGGTCTTAGATCTTTTAGTTCAGCTCATGATGAATGGGGGCAAAAACAAAAGTGTTGCGTTTATAATTTTGTTCAGTGTAGATAACACAACCCACTGTTAACCCCTTCGGGGGGTTCAAACCCACCAAACTTGATTTGTATATTCTACTCAAGTTTCTAATGATACCAAACAGGTCTATAGAGAAATTTGTCTGAAAGGCTGCAAATGATTTAGAGCTGTGTAATGGTACAGCCATAAAAACACATTAGGTTTGAATATTTCCTTCAATAGTGTTGTAACAAGCAGATACAGAATATGCAGTTGAATGTGATATTGTCATGTAGTTTGAGGTTTTGTTGCATTAGTGAGTTAGTTATGCTTCTGTGTAGCAAAATCCTTGTGGGTTAATAAAGACTTAATGTAAGAAATGAACGCGCTTTTAATACTGATTATTCATAAATTATAATATAATATTATATGGTTAGATAATTGCTTTTCATGCAGCTTGAGTGTTGCACCACTTGCTCTCCAGAGAGCTTTTGGTTCATGCCAGCAATCATTTTGGAGAAAACCTCTCCTAATGGTCTGTCTATCAGCAGATGGCCAGAAGCTACCTGCCAGCTAGAAGGAAGGAAAGAAGGACATTTGAGAGGAGATAAATATAAGAGAGCGATAAAGAAGAGAATGGCTAAAGAACAAAGCACATGATGTGCTGCATGAACTGAATGAAAAACAGGCTCTTTTTTCATTCCTCACTCCTGCTTTCTGTACACTGACATGTCTCCTGTGTTTAACTAGAGAGGGTTTAATCGAGGCCGGTCCTCTGTGTGTGTGCGTATGTGCAGATTCAACCTTAAATAAATCCTACACGTTTGTGCTCCATGGGGGATATGTTTTATGCTCTGTTTTTTTCACACTGCTGTTCATGTGATTGTGTGACTTACGAAAACCTTTAACCCCTGCCGACACACACACACACACACACACACACACACACACACACACACACACACACACACAGAATTTTGCTTACCACCATCTTGTTGAGGGAGACCCAGCAGTCAGACGGGAAATCCTGCAGCATGGGAACCAGGAACTGGAGACAGCCATCCCAGTGACACAGCAGGAGCATCATACCAATCAGGTTGAATATTCGCATCACAGCACTGGCCAGGTCATAGGTCATGTGGAAGATCTGTCAGGAGGAGAAGAGACGGGCAGAGAGAGGGTTATTAAAGTGGAGAGGAGGAGGAGAAGACAGAGATGGATGTGTGAGGGGAATGAAAAATCTGTTTTGTGTTTATACAGATCGAGGTGAAATCTAAAAAGAATTTCGCTACTTAACCTACATGAAGGATATTTTTAACATATGTAGCAGTAACTTGTGCATATTTTTAATAACATAAAATAAGTTACTGCTACTGTCGCTTGGATTTTAATTAATAGCCAGAAAACATGTAGTAAATATTGTATTTGCAAGATGAAGGAATTATGAAGAACATCAAATAAATCAAAGTAGGAACTACTAGCTAACAGTGAAGAACCTCATATATATTGGATATGTATGGCTATCACTGTTATTTTTGGGAGATGGTTTAGCTAACATCCTACTCTTAAAGCAGTATTGATTGATTTGTTTTTGTTTTATGAAGTTAACATACAATTGCCTATTTATTCATCCAGCAGTTACAGAGAAACATAGTCATTCATTTGGAGTTGTGTTTCTGGCCATCAGGCTAAGTCCAATATTCACTCTCTTTGTTTCAGCTCTGTTTTTGTTGCTAGCTAGCTGCCAACTTCGTTAATGTGTTGTGAGGTTGACAACATAAGTGACCCCTTTCATATTACAGGCAGTCATTTGACCTTTTGTTAGTGTATTGGTGCAGCTTTAAGCAAAACAACAGCCCGGGAGGAAAAGCTGCAGGGACATATGAAAGCCCGTTTTTCAGTAGTTTCAGGGTTTCTCATTGATGTGTATGTACTTCAAACAGTGGCTATAACAGGAGGTACAACATGGTATGATGACATCACTAATCAGTAGCAAAACTGGTAATGGGAGGTTTCTTGCAAGTGGTGCTGCTGTATGTCATTCCTTAGTAGAATAATGTGTCAGGCTGAGGTTTGACATTATAACCAGGTGGGGAAAATGAACTGCACTGTGGTCTCTACCCACATTAATGATAATTAAAAAAAACTTCATCAGACGCTGATCAGGCTTTCATCAGCAGCCTAGGCTGGCCTCTCTCTGCTATTTTCTTAGATTTACTCGCCTCAGGTAAGAAGGATCACTTGTGTGGAGCTGGTGTTGTGGTCACAGCTATGTGAACGCCACTCACTTCAGGCCTTGTTACAACTGTGTGTCTCTGTATGAATGTGGATTTACATGCAAGTGTGTGCACTACTGTGTAATCCTCGTTTAGCTTGGCAAACTGGACGCAACCATCTACCCCTACAAGGAAGTGAGCAATATGCTGTTTGTATATATATATACATACACTCACCTAAAGGATTATTAGGAACACCATACTAATACTGTGTTTGACCCCCTTTCGCCTTCAGAACTGCCTTAATTCTACGTGGCATTGATTCAACAAGGTGCTGAAAGCATTCTTTAGAAATGTTGGCCCATATTGATAGGATAGCATCTTGCAGTTGATGGAGATTTGTGGGATGCACATCCAGGGCACGAAGCTCCCGTTCTACCACATCCCAAAGATGCTCTATTGGGTTGAGATCTGGTGACTGTGGGGGCCATTTTAGTACAGTGAACTCATTGTCATGTTCAAGAAACCAATTTGAAATGATTGGAGCTTTGTGACATGGTGCATTATCCTGCTGGAAGTAGCCATCAGAGGATGGGTACATGGTGGCCATAAAGGGATGGACATGGTCAGAAACAATGCTCAGGTAGGCCGTGGCATTTAAACAATGCCCAATTGGCACTAAGGGGCCCTAAAGTGTGCCAAGAAAACATCCCCGCACCATTACACCACCACCACCACCCTGCACAGTGGTAACAAGGCATGATGGATCCATGTTCTCATTCTGTTTACGCCAAATTCTGACTCTACCATCTGAATGTCTCAACAGAAATCGAGACTCATCAGACCAGGCAACATTTTTCCAGTCTTCAACTGTCCAATTTTGGTGAGCTCTTGCAAATTGTAGCCTCTTTTTCCTATTTGTAGTGGAGATGAGTGGTACCCGGTGGGGTCTTCTGCTGTTGTAGCCCATCCGCCTCAAGGTTGTGCGTGTTGTGGCTTCACAAATGCTTTGCTGCATACCTCGGTTGTAACGAGTGGTTATTTCAGTCAAAGTTGCTCTTCTATCAGCTTGAATCAGTCGGCCCATTCTCCTCTGACCTCTAGCATCAACAAGGCATTTTCGCCCACAGGACTGCCGCATACTGGATGTTTTTCCCTTTTCACACCATTCTTTGTAAACCCTAGAAATGGTTGCGCGTGAAAATCCCAATAACTGAGCAGATTGTGAAAAACTCAGACCGGCCCGTCTGGCACCAACAACCATGCCACGCTCAAAATTGCATAAATCACCTTTCTTTCCCATTCTGACATTCAGTTTGTAGTTCAGGAGATTGTCTTGACCAGGACCACACCCCTAAATGCATTGAAGCAACTGCCATGTGATTTGTTGATTAGATAATTGCATTAATGAGAAATTGAACAGGTGTTCCTAATAATCCTTTAGGTGAGTGTATATACACACACACACATTTATGCATATTGGAAATGCCTGCTTTATGCGCCAATTTGATTTGGTTTCTTATATAACAAAAATCATTTGAGACAAGAGAATCATCCTACATGTGAACTAGGCCAGATACTGTGTTTGTGAGTGTTTCATATTTTCCCAGTCGGGACTTGAACCTGAATGCACACTTATCGATGGGGACTCGTCACCGTGGGGACAGAAACTGGAGTCCACACAGATGGAGACCTCTTTTAGAGGGTTAAGACTTGGTAGTTATGATGGTTGAAGTTAGGGTAAGGGGATAGGGAGGGCATTATGTCAATGAGATGTCCCCAGGGGATAGAGGAACAAATTAGTGTGTGTGTGTGTGTCTTGGGATGTGAACAAGTATCCTCTGTTGGGAATTTACAGTTTGGGAGCAGCCAGGTCAGGACATTCGGTGACTCATCGCGTCACCTCAGAGGCCTCGCCGCCCTAAACTCACAGCTCATTTAAATATCAAAACCAGCTTTCCTCCGAACCCCCCGGGGTGCGAATGTCTCTTGTTAATTACAGTGCAAACACAAGAAAGCCAACCAGTCTAACATATTCCTCCACCCGACTCGACCAACACACATATTATACTCCACTTGTCCCAGAGCTACATGAGCAAGAATCATGCATAGTAGATGCATGATTCTTGCTCATGTAGCTCTGGGCCTTTTCTGTCTGCGTTTGGCTGAACAGTGATACTTTACCAAATCCCATTAGTTTCTTTGACTTTCTCCTATTTGTTTTTTTTTACACACCAAGTGCTTTAAACACATCTTGTTCAAATATTTATCTAGTTTCAACTTTATTCTTCACTCTTCTGCATATTTTCAGTTTTACCCACCCACTTCCACTTGTCAACTTTGAGTTCAATGTAATTTAGCTACAGACCAAATGCCACCATTTTCTTTACTTTTTTGGAGTACCTCCTATATTGGCTAATGGCCTTAGCTAATTTGAGGAAGGAGAAAGGGAAACACACACCGTGAGGCCCTGCCCTGTGATTAGGAATCATTCCCATTATGATTAATGAGGCTCCAGGACTAATGTCCCCCCCCCCCGCCCCCGACACCAGAACAGCACCTGGCCATGTGTCACTGTCAGACCACAATCTGGGTCAAGGCGCGTTGATGTGACCACAACTCGCAGCCTGAAAAACACAGATAAAGTACTTTCTGCTCCTCCCTGCTGCACATGGTCAAATACACGGTGATCCAGACAATTCTGATGGCAACATTTAGAGAAAACTACTGAACTAGAGGAATATTACACTCCCACCACCGAGCCCCACTCTGACACATACACTCCTGCTGCCACCCATTCACCAATAGTGTCTAGCTCATGAAAAAGGCATCCTCTGGGACATGCCAGCAAGTGGAGAGCCTTGATACAAGCTTCCTGGCTCAGGAAATTGCTCTGGTTATTCCTGACAATACTAATCTCTGCTTCTGTGTTGGCAAACAAACACACACCGATCTATTCAAAAATACATATTGCAGACGCCTTCATAAACCATCATCCCGGTTGTTGGAAAGTTTTCTCTACTAGGCTGGCCTGCAGCGGAGCTAAAAACGCAAGATGATCTTAAAGGAAACCCCTAAAATCTAAGCTAAGCTGAGCTGAGCCGAGCTGAGCTGGGCAGGGGGGAAACACAGCCAGCCACATTTGGATCAAGCTGAGCAGAGTAGCGCTGAAGTAAGCTCATCGGAGCAGGGCTGAGTCGACGCAAAGGAGTATTCAGTGAGAGTGTTTGAATGAGTGATTAGGGCTCTAGTCAAGCTCAAATTACCACTCAGTAAACAGAAAAGCAGTCCTTATTTTCAGAGTGAGGGACCGCGCACATTTGATTCATTGATGCAGAACAGGGATCGTCAGTTTATATACGCAAGCACATGCACATAGCTGGCCAGGGCTAATTGTGTTGTATGCAGCATATATAGCTATATATGATTATGCATCCGTCTCTTGACGAACATTATTTACTGATGTGTAGTGTCATCAGAAAGCTTGTGTCCTTGCAGTAGCCAGCTTGCCAGTATCCATTTATGACTGTTTGGTGCCTTTATTGGTTTAAATGCCACATTAAAACAATTATTAAAATAAGGAAAAGGTAGCTCTTGTTATGAGAAGGGGGTTAAGGCAATTAGTGGCGTTCATTCCTCAGAAAATCCCTTTTCACTTCCCCACTGATAAGCAGAAATTAATTTTTCATGAATTCTTAACTGCATCAGAACATGATGATGAGCTATTATTCCACTATCAGGCTTATTGCCATACAGCATGGTAAAATTTTCTTTTTTGTGTGTGTTGGGAAGTAATTACACACAGGAGAATAGTTTTAATGTACAAACAGAATCACTTGTATACTGACATAAACCACTGCACTGGAATCCAATATTGTATTTTAATTAGAGCACTGTTAGGCTAGTTTATCTTTTGTTATGTAAGCAAACACAGTTGGGGAAATACTTTGACTTTAACATCCAAACTGCAGCTTAATTCTACACTGGAACGTCAGTGATAATCAGTATCGCTCTGACCACCCTTTCTGTTGGACCCTAACATTTATGAGAAGAATTCATAATAAACACACTCTTGTGAGGTGCTTTCGTACAATCTACACATTCCTTGATGGTGATGGTGATCCTGCGTCACTGCACCATCTCCGTCTTCAAGGTAGCTTACTTAGGGTGCTTCATGATGTTAACCAACGAAGGTTAAAATGAAGGGCAACTGGACTTGGTTGAAGATACTGGAAGACGTTTCGTCCCTCATCCAAAGGACTTCTTCAGTTCTGACTGACTGGCAGGGAAACTCAGCTATTTAACCTCAGTGGGGTCGTTGGCCCGGGTCATCGATACCGCTGGTTCGTTAGTGTTCCTTGTTGCTGTGACGACAGTCGTTACAGTCGTTACAGTCGTTAGGACTACCTGTGGCCAAGACTGAACGACCATCGTTGGTATCTTCACCTGAGGCCAATAGGTTACGTTTGTTGAGTTTCCTGGGAAGTGATGAAAGGACAGCATTGTAAGTGGGGGATAAGTGGTGGCGTAGACCCCCTCCCCTGTTCAATGACGGCTTCTCAACCCTGGTGTAGATGGCTTCCTTGACACCTCTTTCAAACCATCCATCTTCTCTGTCTAAAATGTGCACCTGATGGTCCTCAAACGAGTGTCCTCTGTCCTTCAGATGTAAGTAGACTGCAGAGTCTTGACCTGAGGAGTTGGCCCTTCTGTGTTGAGCCATGCGTTTGTGTAGTGGTTGTTTAGTCTCCCCAATATACAGGTCTGTGCATTCCTCACTGCATTGGACCGCATACACTAGATTGCTTTTCTTGTGTTTGGGTGTGCGGTCTTTGGGGTGGACCAGCATCTGTCTTAGTGTGTTCTTGGGTTTAAAAAACACAGGGATGTTGTGTTTGTTGAAAATCCTCCTGAGTTTCTCTGATACTCCAGACACGTATGGAATCACAATGTTGTTGCGTTTGACCTTCTTTTCCTCCTCCCCTGTAGTTTTGTTCTTCTTGGATCTTGTGGCTGTCTTCACAAAGGTCCATTTAGGGTATCCACAGGCTGTAAGTGCCCCCTTCAGGTGGTTCTGTTCCTTCTCTCTGGCTTGGGTGCTTGTTGGTATGTTTTCCGCTCTGTGGTGCAGTGTTCTCATGACCCCTAGCTTGTGCTCCAGTGGGTGGTGTGAATCGAAGAGTAGCTATTGGTCTGTGTGTGTGGGTTTTCTGTAAACACCAATCTGCAGGCTCCTGTCCTCTTCAATGTGTACAGCGCATTTCCACCATCTTATCTCCTTTGGTGGGAAACACGCCTCACCACGTCCAAAACTCTATTGACTTTGTAAACAAAGTTCGAGGACTAAAACTGGATCCAGATGAAACCATGGTATCCTATGACGTGACTTCTTTGTTCACCTGCATCCCCACCATAGAGGCAGTAGAAACCGTTAGGAAACGGTTAACACAGGACAACACCCTGGACAACAGAACTAGCCCTGACCAAATCTGCAAATTACTCGACCTCTGTCTAAACACCACCTACTTCCAGTACAACGGTGGATTCTACAGACAGAAGCATGGCTGTGCCATGGGCTCACCGGTATCCCCGATTGTGGCAAACATCTACATGGAAGAAGTGGAGAATAAAGCCCTCAACTCCTTCAGAGGAATAGCACCGAGCCACTGGTACAGATATGTGGACGACACCTGGGTCAAAATCAAAAGCCAGGAAGTGCAAGCCTTCACAGAACACATCAACTCTGTGGACAGTAACATCAAGTTCACACGAGAAGATGTTCACAACAACAGTTTGGCCTTCCTGGACTGCGCTGTACACATTGAAGAGGACAGGAGCCTGCAGATTGGTGTTTACAGAAAACCCACACACACAGACCAATACCTACTCTTCAATTCACACCACCCACTGGAGCACAAGCTAGGGGTCATGAGAACACTGCACCACAGAGCGGAAAACATACCAACAAGCACCCAAGCCAGAGAGAAGGAACAGAACCACCTGAAGGGGGCACTTACAGCCTGTGGATACCCTAAATGGGCTTTTGTGAAAACAGCCACAAGATCCAAGAAGAACAAAACTACAGGGGAGGAGGAAAAGAAGGTCAAACGCAACAACATTGTGATTCCATATGTGTCTGGAGTATCAGAGAAACTCAGGAGGATTTTCAACAAACATAACATCCCTGTGTTTTTTAAACCCAAGAACACACTAAGACAGATGCTGGTCCACCCCAAAGACCGCACACCCAAACACAAGAAAAGCAATCTAGTGTATGCGGTCCAATGCAGTGAGGAATGCACAGACCTGTATATTGGGGAGACTAAACAACCACTACACAAACGCATGGCTCAACACAGAAGGGCCAACTCCTCAGGTCAAGACTCTGCAGTCTACTTACATCTGAAGGACAGAGGACACTCGTTTGAGGACCACCAGGTGCACATTTTAGACAGAGAAGATGGATGGTTTGAAAGAGGTGTCAAGGAAGCCATCTACACCAGGGTTGAGAAGCCGTCATTGAACAGGGGAGGGGGTCTACGCCACCACTTATCCCCCACTTACAATGCTGTCCTTTCATCACTTCCCAGGAAACTCAACAAACGTAACCTATTGGCCTCAGGTGAAGATACCAACGATGGTCGTTCAGTCTTGGCCACAGGTAGTCCTAACGACTGTAACGACTGTCGTCACAGCAACAAGGAACACTAACGAACCAGCGGTATCGATGACCCGGGCCAACGACCCCACTGAGGTTAAATAGCTGAGTTTCCCTGCCAGTCAGTCAGAACTGAAGAAGTCCTTTGGATGAGGGACGAAACGTCTTCCAGTATCTTCAACCAAGTCCAGTTGCCCTTCATTTTAACCTTCGTTGGATAACTATGACCTGGATGACTGAGAATCTTCATAGACATGATGTTAAAGTAAATGTTGAAGAAACGTTGGGAAAATTGTCTGCAAAGGCAACAGACATTATCATATATAGCCTGACCGATACAGGATTTTGCTAAACCTGGATTTTTTTTACTGGACCGATACTGGATTTTCAACATAAACAACAATCTTCATATGGATCCCTTATATTTGTAATTTTAAAGAACTGTGACAAAGCAGGACAATTCACAGTTGAAAAATCAACTTGTCAGTGCCCTCTGGTGGAAAAACTATGTCATGGCAACACTATTTCTAAATTACCACAAACCTACTTTTAGTATTTATTTATTTGTTTATCTGCCAACATGTACCCGATACAAATATATCTGTAGTAAGCTAATATCGACCGCTAGTATCGCAATATATCGGTCTAGATCTAGTATATTTTAACTTAAAAAGAAACACAAACACAAATACATAAAGTGTTAATTTCATTTTCAGTTTGTTGTTTGTTTACCGTAATACAGTTGCGCTTACACATTTTGCTGCTATCTTATATTTACTGTCACAGTAATTAAAATAAATTCATTAGGACATTTATTGTTCAACTGTTAAATATCTAACACAGTTCTTGAACAATCAGATTTGACATATTATCACCAAAAATGTCTGTTTACAGAACATCGGCCAATATATCATCCCATATCAGTCAGGTTACAGATATCTTAGATTGGTGTAACCACCATCTTTGCCTAAATAAAGCACTTTTATTAGGCAATGGTTTTCACTGGATTATAAATGCTGAATCTCAGCCTACCTCCTCCCATTGGTGTATGTAACGGATGAGCCTGGACAGCCGCAGCAGCCGCAGCAGACTGAGGATCTTAGTGAAGCGAACGATGCGAAGCGCCCGGGCCGTCTTGTACACCTCAGAGTCTATCCCTTTCTCCACGATGAGGAAGATATAATCCACGGGTATGGAGGAGACAAAGTCCACCACAAACCAGGTCTTCAGGTACTTCATCTTAATCTTCTCGGGATCGAGGATGATCTCGGTGTTGTCCTCGAACACGATGCCAGTCCTGAAGTTCAGCACGAGGTCCATGAGGAAGAAGGTGTCGGAAACCACATTGAAGATGATCCAGGGCGTGGTGGTCTCCTCCTTAAAGAAGGTGATGCCCACGGGGATGATGATCAGGTTGCCCACCATGAACATCAGCATGGTGAAGTCCCAGTAGAACCTGGCAACAGTAAAGCAGTGGTGGAGAAGAGGGTTAGAGATGGAGTGGGTGGCCATTTAATCTCTCACGCACAAACTTGAAATATGCTGATCTGAGGGAAATCACTACATGATAGTTACACAAATAAAGTGCAAAGTGAGCCTGTTTCACTTGATTGCACTGTACCTTCTCCTGATGAGGTAACCTATACCATCTGACACCAGACAAGGTCAAACCAAGGGCAAGCAGGCAGAGATATTAAGGGAAGACGAGCTGTAGTAATGCCACTGGCAGAGGATGTCTCAGCAACTATCACGGCTCCAGTTTTGTGTTCCATTTCGGATTCATAATTGCTTCTATTACACTTTAAAACAACGCTTGCACAAAGGTTTGAATTCTAACTGTCCATTATAAGAGAATTAATTATTTAGCAACTATTTATAGATAATCAATTAATCAACTGTCAAGCAAAAATGCCAAATATACTCTGGTCCTAGCTTTCCCAAAGTGAGACTTTGCTGCTCTTCTTTATCTAAAACTGAACAAAACATCACATTTGAAGGCGTCACACTGGAATGTTTCCCTATTTTCTGAAATTTTATAGACCAAATGATTAATCAAGGAAATAATTAGCAGATTAATTTAGCTTTTTTTTTTTAAAAAGACTTATTTGCAGCCCTATATGTTTTTGTATTGGGTTGTTCCGAAAGCCTAAGTGGCCCTGCAGTCTGATCAGCTCAGAGTAAGTGGGTGAGTGTTGCTGAGTCATGACTTGAATCCTATGTTCCCTATTATCTTCAACTGTGTTCAGTGTTCCTTGACACCATTCCCCATAAAACCACTAATCAACAATCTCTTAAATAATATTTTCATAGCAACCCCCCACCCCACAGCAAAGCGAGTTAAGAGCTCAAATAGTTGGTTTTATCGTCAGACTGATGTTGTTCTATGCTTGAGGTAATTGGAGGAGCTATCCTTGGTGCTTAAACAGATGTTCAGACGCATTCCAACTCAATGACATAACTTTCCCAACTTACATGTTTGACCCATTTGGCATCAATACGTAGATAAATATAAAAATATTTCCCAGTCTTCTAAATGGATCAAATTCAGCCCTTAAGTTTTATTCCCCCAGTAAAAATGTTAAGCATTATAAAAACATAATTGTAAATATGTTTAAATCAGCTAAAGTTCTTTCTATGGAGGACATCTTACTTTTAGTATTCTCTAATATAAAGTTTGATATGGAGAATCTGACAATGTGTTTATACCATATCCATACAATCACACAGAGATCACAGGCTCTTTATATTCCATGCAGACCAACTCTATCTAAGAGTAAGCGGTTTATGAACCTAACTCGGCTTGACCCATACCTGAAGTCGCTGTATGGGTGGATAATCCAGTTGCCTGCTGACTTTACGCGCTCTTGCTCTTTCTCCACTGCCTTCTGGCTGCCAAACATGCGCAGGGAGAACTTGTTAACTCCGGGCTGAAGCATGGAACTAAACTGCCGCTGCATGTATGTCTGGTTCCCCCTGGAGTCTCCATCATCCGGCACTATCTGAGAGCCATCCTCAGCTTTGGAAAATGTGACAGAATTTCTTGACTGTTGACTCGGAGTCTGTCCTTTACCTGCCGGGGCGTTGGAGAAGGAAACTCTTGAGTCCTTTTTCTCCATCGCTGCCGCGGTCTTGACCTCGGCCCCGGGCCCCTGTGTCAGGGACCCCGCTGAAGTGAGAGAGCCGTCCATAATCGCAGCCTGCCCCTTGCCGTCTTCAGCTGCTGCCACTACTCCATCCGTCTGCTTCTCCTGCCTTGAGATGAGAGAGGAGAGGCTCCCTGAACTGGTCGGGTCCCTTCTACAATCTCCGTTTTTGTTGCATATCATGCCGATGGCTCCCTCTCCTGTGACGCCTGCCTCTGTGTCCCCTCCACTCCTGTGGTCTGACTCTGAGCCGCCAGCAGCATCCCTCTGGCATAACAAAGCAGAGGCTGTGCTGCCACTGGCAGGTGCGGGGTCCGCGTCTCGCAGGAGCCACAGCTCATTGTTGTAGGAGTTTTTGCGCGCAAAGGACGCAGCTCCGCCTCCTGGCGTAAATTTCTTCATCTCGGTTCCTCCGCTTCTCACATGATCCTCGCGGGCTACTTGAGGTGGTCGAGGCTGCCGGAATTTGGGCTCCTCCTCATCGTCCTCCGCCTCGTCCATAGCAGGCAGGCAAAGGCAAACAGAAAAGAAACTCCCGTACCTTGAACCTGGCGAGACTGGGCGGCGGCGGCGGCAGGTGCGCGGAGTTCAAAGCAGCCTCTGCTTTCCATCCACACCACTTACGGATAACAGCGCACCAGGTGGCGTTGCTATGGCTGCAACCTGGCTGCTGTTAGAGTGTGTGAGTGAGTGAGAGAGTGAGAGAGAGAGAGCACAGCATTACCCCTGGGCTGCAACCACCTACAAGTATAAATTTAGGCTATTAAAGAAACTATGTGAACAAAAGAAAGCAACCTGTCAAACCAGGACACGCCCAGCCTGACGTGTGATTAGTAAGAAAACTCGATTTAGCTAATAAATAAACGCATGAATAGCCTAGATGTTTAAATACATGAGTAAACTCACCTGACAGGAAGAAGGAACAGCAGGACAAAAGGTGACGGAAGGTCACAAGAATCCACCAAGTTCTCCATATTTTGTCACCCACAATGGAGCTCAGATTCAAATCAGCCAGTAGCCTAACCTATAGCCTACTGCCGTGGTCAGGTGATCCATAGTCATTATATGCTAGGCTACTAGATCTTTGACTACATTGGGAAGCTGTATAAACAGCGTCTGCCTGTTGATTTCGGTTAATAGTCTGCCAATATGGTCAGGGCCTCACATTCTTTGTTAAATTGCTCCACCTTGTGGAAAATAGAGATTTTACACTCTAAAGCTTCCTAGACACCCAGATAGTAGCGTCTAGATAATATTGCAAACAGAAGGAGTCTCTACCCGTTAGAACTCAGACATTAACTTGACCTGTTGCTTTTGTGGCTCCACCAAGTCTGGACCACACCATATCAGCTCCTTATACATGCATTCCCTGTTTGTCTTAATGCACTTCCGTTTACAGCTTCATCCAATGAGGGCAGGGTTTCAAAAAACAAGATTAATCTAATTCTAATAAAAAAATAAATCTCCTTTATACAGTCAGGAAGCACAACATGATCAGACATACTCTCCAGGAAAGGGGGGGGGGGGGGGGGGGGGGTCAATATCTGAGTAGGAGTTTGTGCAAGCCAAGTCAATGTCAAGACATGTCTGAACTTACAATTTCCCATTTCACAAATAACATTGTTTGTGTTTGTCTACACCTGCCCTATTGATAAGGCATGGGTTGAGAAATACTGAACACATTCTTTATCCCTTACTACCCCCTTGTGAGATCACTTTGTACATTTGTTTAGGTATGCAACAGTATACAGAGGAAAACGCTATTCATGTTCTCTGCTTTAGGCACTTTGATGTGAAGCTAGGGGAGGGGTTACAGGGACACATGCCTTTGGTGTGAGAGACCCAGGTTCAGTTCCACTGTGACACATCCGCCAAATTGTCCCTTAGCAAGACACTTAACCCTTAGTTGCTCCAGAGGCATGTGACTTCTGACATATAGCAATTGTAAACTGCTTTGGATAAAAGAGTCAGCAAAATGAATGGGAATGTAATGAGGCTCAAAGTCATGACATGCTTTATATTTTTCAAAACACAAAAATACCCACTTTTCACTTGGATTAACTGTTTTTGTAACAGTCAGCCCTGATACAGCGACAGCATTTATTTGCTGAACAGGAAACCCCACAAAACAAATATATAGAGATCATTGTACACAAGTCACCCTTTTGTCATTTGAATAAAAGTAAACAAACGTGTAAAATCCAATACCTTTATTCAGTTTGTGCAAGTTGTACAACAGATGACTTTCCATCTACTCGGAAAGATACAACAATTTACACAACTCTGGCTAGGTCTTTTTTATTTGTGTAATTCTGAAATGGTAACATCCAATCACAACACTAATCAGGTTATATGGAACATATGGCTTTGAATCATCTACACAGTGAAGGGGGACAGAGACGACGGTTCAACAATCGCACACAATTTTTTTTTGTTTTGTTTTTTAAATCATCTCAGATCACATTGAGTGAGAAAGAAATACATCTTTTTAAAACTTTTATCTGCTGTATTAGATTGAAACATCATTGCTTAGTATTAAAGTTGCATTCAACAGAAGCAACATCTCTTGCACTTGGTCCATATTATCTTTTTATGTGGCTTTGACACTGGCAACAAAAACATTGTATGACTAAAACTTTCCATTTAAAATATGTTAATAGGAAAAAGGAAATCAAAGCATGAATTAAAGGGACAAAAGCTTTCCTTTCTAAAAAGAACTGTAATTTCTTACGGCAACAAAACCTAGCATACGTAGAATCTTAAGTTGCTCCTGCATTTCATTATGTCACATCTTGTGGCAGGTAACAAAATGCTAGAACACAAAAAGAGACATCGTGCTTGTTAAGGCAAAGTATAACACTCTGCAAAGGGAGGTTTGTCGTGTTGTAGGGACAGATCAAACGTGAATTCAAACGCACTCCAGTTGTTGCTATAAGAATTGCAGCGATGCATCAGGTTTAAAATTGTTCCTCTGAACAGAACTTGTGCTGGTTTTACAAGTAACCAGTCCACTCTGCAGAATATCAAAAGCAAAAGACCAACAATTGTGAGGTCAGTGCGGGAAGCATCAGCATCAACTGAAAATAAGCGCAAACTAAGCATTCCTCATGTGAACATTCTAGTGATTTTTACAACAAAACACACACTTTTGCTAGATAGCATTTTAAAACTCATGCAATATGTGCCCCATGGCCTCAAACAGAAATTATTTCACACTATGTTCTCTGGCTGCACAATGTGGAGAAGAATATAGAAGAACAAAAGAGGAAAATCGGTCAACTTCTTTAAACATCAACACCCAAGCACAAAAAAGGTACTTAAAATTGCAGGGTGCACACTAAGAATGTGCAACACAACAGCTGAATCCTGGACGTCCGTGTGGGTTGTCCATCTAGAAAAGAAAAAAAAAAAAAAGTTGCATGAGTAAAGAATTAGATTCGTTTTCAGATAATGTTTATTTTGTTCAAGGTTGGTATTAAATGTGCAGAGGCTGAGTAGCCCACAGTAAGGTTTTAATTTTAAGAACTTCACAGATTCACGCACCTCTTTCAGCTTCTAGTTGGAATTCCTTTGCCTCACATTCTTGTCTTTGTGATTTGCATTAGAATTGCTCTTCCTGAAAGACAGAGTAAACATGAGTTGTGTAAAAACACAAACAAAAAAAAATCCCACATCTTTAGTGACAATCAAGGTACTGAGCTGATGACTCTACTTACAAAGGAGCAGATCCTGAGTCGTCATCTGGGCCGCAGTAAATGATTGATAAAAGAAAGGCAAACAAAAACAAGAGTCAGTTGACAGCATGTTACATGTCTGCAATTGGTGTGAGCAGTACATGCCCCCCCCAGATAATGGTAGCAAATGTTAGAACATGACATCCTCTGCAACATGATTCTGATGATCAAATCCAACTAAAAATGAACTGAAGCATGCCCGCCTGTTGCATTTCTGACAATGAAGGATACAACAAAATCCTTTATAGAGCAATCCCACACATAATCATTGTTTGTGTTGTATTAAAACATATATTGCTAAAAGTCACCTAATGGATAGCTGACTTTAGTAAATCTGCAACAACATTTGAAACATTTTTGTACACCATCCAGAGTCACCCCTTAGCATCACAGAGGCTCATGCAATACAAGCAAAGGACACAAAAACACTGCCGTGGCTGTATTAAATTGTAACTCCGGTATTTTATAACGTCTGTGTGTCTATGTGAGTAATGGGGACAATATTTTATTCATTCTTTAATTTGTTTTGAGCGAGCGTGCTGCTGTTGGAAGCAGAGAATTGCACACCCTCAAAGTACCTCCAGTAAAGTGCTTGTTTTTGCAACAGACAGGCTCAGATTGTTATTACAAGTGTCTGACAACATTGTGGAAACATTAACCCTACCGAGATAAACCTTTGCATTTAACCAGAAACAGTTGCTATGTCCAAAGCAACCCACTCTGACAAAAACATCATCTCAACTTGTAGAACAAGGGTGTTTGCTGATCTACCACTGCCTCGACCGGTTAGTTGGTTTGTGGTATTGTATGAATTTGGTGTGTTTGTTTTGTTGTGTGCTTGTTTTTAAGTCATACAATGACAACCTAACTGGTCGAGGCAGCAGAAGACCAGGGAGGTAAAATTACTGATGCCGTCAAGGGAGTCTGGTAATTTTGAGAGCAAAATAGCAACCTTTTGGTTCACACACACACACACACACACACACACACACACACACACACACAAAAAAAAAGGGATCTTACACTTAAAATTAACAAAAATAAAAAAAAGGTCTGATCATTTCCGCTGATGTCAGATTCTTATAACAATCTGAGCCGGTCAGTGGAAAAAACCAAGCCTTTTAGTGGATGTACCTTGAGGGTGCGCAACAGCCCCCAAGGATTACTTTGTAGCCCTATTTCACTGCTGCTGACTGCAGCAGGCTCCCCTAATATTTGACCAATTTTAAAAACACATTGTCCCCATTAGTCACAGACACAAAACATAGGGAAATAGGGTTGAGGTTGAAAAATACCGAAGTTAGCCTTTAAGATACAAAAAACAAAAGTAAACATCTTTTAACTGGCAGAGCTGACACACAACCTGGCAATGTATAGTGGCAGTATTCACACCAGAGCAAGACCATGTATTCACAGGGTAAAGGCAAGAGTAGGCTAATCTGTGTGGCCGAATGGTGGATGAGACAAATGTAAATGTACTGGTCTTAAGAGGGTTGCCTAACCCTTATCATGCATAAAGTACAAGATGCAGAAAGCATGCAGACAGAATGCTGAAACCTCTCACTTTTCAACCTATCCAATTTCATGTCAAACCATTACACTAGCTTATGGGTCTCATTTGACTCTTTCATTGGCTCAAACACACAATTTAAAAAAACAAACAAAAAAAACACCACGACCAATAAAGGCAGTGGAAAGGAAATATTTTAAAGTTTGCTGATTGCAGGGCCAGTGAAAGAGTGACCAAATCTTTGAGCGCATTCCTCTTAGAAGTGGCGACTATGAAAGCAGTTCATTCAGACTCCCATAGCTTTTTCCACGCCGTCATCTCAACTCAACCACTTCAGTCTGACATGCAGTTTTGTCCACTTACCAAAATGCAAAATCAGCAGCGAACAGAGAAGTAAAAATGTAAATAATAAAAAAATAA